TTGTTGTCAAAATTGTGCTTTAGCAATTGGAAAAAACTGTAACTCAAAACCTACAGCGGTCCTCAGGTAACTGAGTAAAGATAAATACAGTGGTACCTCGGTTCTCGAACTCACTAGAACTCGAATTTCTTGAAAGTCGAACAAACCAGTTTGACCTAGAACTCGATCTCAATATCAGAAGTCGAACCGTGAACGCTGACCTAATATAAATTGTATGCGCCAGGAAATGAGTCATACTACAATGCAGTTCTTACTTGAATGCCTTCTTCACAGACGATTATCCAAATAAAGCAGCGCAACAATACAGTAACTAACAATAAATAAACCACTAACTTACGTGTACTATTAGAGCATTTATGTAATTTATTTAAACTATTTTACCAGATAAATTAACTGAAAACCAGTTCTCACTGCTTTACGCGATATTCGGGAGAAATAGCAGATTATGCATCGTAACTGCCTGGTATACAAACGTCATGCGTGTAACTAAACTCTTTAGCCAATAAGGGCAAAGGTGTGTCGTCACGGAGGCGGTTCCAGTTTGTGCAGCCAGGTGAGAGGTCGCAATGCATCACTGTAATGCATTGCGCCAGGATCAGAATGCGTTGTGCGTTGTGGCGCTGTAAGCAAGTCGAACGCACATAATGACCGGACTGGGGAAACAAACTGATACGCGGACTTAATACAGAGGACTAATGACAACAACCAGAAACAGCTGATCACATGGGGATCCCACACGGGGTTAACGAGGGGGCGTGGCACACGGAAGGAGCGGATGATTGGGGCAGGACAGGTGTAATGTTGGGATAAGATCTTTGTCGTTTTGGAAGCCATTAAGAAAAAAATGCTATTCATGTTTTATTCTGTTCATTTTGTGTTTATATGCTAAAAAATAACATTTAGGTGTAATTTTGGGTTTTAATTGGTTTTCCAAAATGGTTAATTAATTGGTTTTCCATTATTTCTTATGGGAAAAATTCGATCAGAACTCAAACTTTTTAGGATTCGATCCGGAGTCCGGAACGGATTAAGTTCGAGAACCAAGGTACCACTGTAGTAGTATTATAGCTTGTTTGAGGAAAAACAATGTCACTAACAGTTAAGAATGAATGTGCATGTATATAGTAACTTTCCAGGCAACCAAAATGCTTTACAGAAGGAACTGGAAGCCACTTCAACCACCATTACTGTGTAGCACCCACTGGGACGATGTGACAGCAGTCATTCTGCACCAGTACACAAACCAGACAGTAGCTAAGGTGTTGAAGGGGCAGGAGAGAATTTACTAATTAGATATAGGGGAGGATTAGGAGGCCAGATTGCACAGGGCCATAGTGGGCAATTTTTTAGCCAAACATTGGAGTACCACCCATACCAGGATCTTTCATGACCTCAGAGAGTCAGGACCTCAGTTTTATATCTCATCCAAAGGATGCACCATTTTTACAGCACAGTGTCCCCATCACTGCACTGGGATCCACATAGACCACAGGGTGTTAACCTGCTGGCCACACTAACACCTCTTCCAGCAGCAACCTAGGTTTCCTAGTTGGTCTCCCATCCAAGTACTGGCCAGACTCTAACCTGCTTAGTTTCAGGTGGAGTACCTAGTCTGAACTGCGTGTTTGTATAGTTTGTCTAATGTATTATTTCATTTATACACTCAAACTCCAGTGTTTGCCCAGTCTGCTCTTCTCAGTCTGGCCTCAGTCTGAAACCATACCTACTTCAGCCTGAGAAGCAGGAAGTTCCTCCCACACTTACACACAGACAACTGAGAGAAAACAAAACTGAATCCTATCAGT